ATGTGCTTATACTGCTCATGATCGATTGTTGCTTCTACTGCCACAGGAAGAAGTGGATAAACAAGTTGAATAGATGTCAAGCATAATGAAAGACAGAGAAACTTTTCAAAATGAAATAAAACAGTGGATAAAGGAAACCAAACAACACAACAGTTCATGTGAAAAACTGGATACAACTGAAACCAATAAATCCAGGCATATTGTGGATCAAAGAAAAACAAATGTTTTATTAAACATTTGTGATATAAATTGAGATGACATTAAACCAAGTGACAGTTTTTCTAATGTTGAATCTCATAAATCTTCATGCAGCATCTCTACAACTTCTTCTGCACGTTTAAAAGCTGAAGCTGAGCTTGCTGCTTTAGCCGCACGAAAAGGGCTACTGGAAGAAAAGCATGCAATGGAAGAGGTAGAGCTCCGTAAAAGGAAAGCAAGATTGCAGCTGGAGGAAGAGGAGGAAAAACTGCGCAGGAAAGGAAAGAGGAACTACAACTGGACACTGAAATCGCTGAAAGAATGTTAGAATTAGAAGCACAAGTGGAAAAGGATCAAAAGTATCAGATGGAATGAACTCATATTTGAAAAAAGTAAAATCTCAACACCAATTTAATGTGAATGCAGATGAATTCTATCCATCATTATGTGCAAAACAAAGAACCAGGTTGGAGGATGAAAAACAATCTGTGAAACACACTGTGAAGGAGAGCATGACATATTCAGGTGACAAAGGTCCTCAATTTTATGTGTTTCATAAGGAACAAGTCAATAACCAATATATTAATCAAGAATGTTGTGCAAACATGAATTCAAATATATCAGCTGTGGAAAGCAATGATAATGTTCTTGACATTATGAGGAAGCAAAACGAAATAACTACTTTGTTAATACAACAACAATGCTTTAATTCTCTTCCAAAGAGAGAGATTCCAATATTTGATGGTGATCCATTAAAATATTACACATTCATAACGGCCTTTGAGAACGGCGTTGAAAGGAACACATCAAACAATTTTGACCGTTTATACTTCCTGGAACAGCATACTAAAGGTCACGCTAAAGAACATGTAAGAAGTTGCCACAACTTAAATCCAGATCATGGATATTCAAGAGCCAAAACTTTATTAAAAGAACAATTTGGGAATGAGCAGAAGGTTGCACATTGCTACATGGTCAAAGTTATTTCATGGCCGATGATAAAGTCAGAGGATGTGAAGGCTCTACAGGACTACAGCCTATTCCTCAGAAGCTGTATCTTTATGATTTGGACATGACTTCTAATATGCTGCATATTATAAAGAAGCTGAAAGACAGATGGAGAACTAAAGCATGTGAGCTACAGGAATGTCAAGGAAGAAGAGTCAAGTTCAGTGATATTGCAAATTTCATTGAAAAACAAGTCAAGATTCTAACAGGTCCTGTCTCTTGTATATTGCCAAACAATATACAAGATTCTTCAAAGATAACAAATAAAGTATCATACAAACCAAAGTTAATGCCTCGGTCCAAAGGAGCCAGCTTTGCAACTACAGGCAGAACAGTGGAGAACAAATCTCAGCCTGTGAAGGAAGAAAAAGAAATCAGAATAAATGGAATGAATTTATGTATTTTCTGTGGAGCAGGGCACAAACTGACTTTATGCTCCAAAGGAGGATTTTCTCTTGTTAAGTGGATGAGTAATAGACCAAAGGTACTCAAAATAATCCATGTGACTCACAGAGCAGGATGCATGGAGAAGTCGGACCTGGAGTTGGATTATCTGCCAGTTAAAAGAGTACTGGGGTTTGAATGGTCTATTGAACTCATTTAGGTTCAAAGTAAAGCTTAAGGATAGACCACTTACCAGAAGAGGAATACTTTCAACCATTGCTTCCATTTGTGATCCTCTTGAAATGCTGAGCCCCGTGATTTTGACAGCAAAGAAAATCCTGAGAGACCTGTGCAGGATGGGATTCGGATGGGATTAGACTTTACCCGAGTCAGTCTCGAAGAGCTGGTTGAAATCGCTAAAACAGCCATTGAGGATGGAGACGGAGCAGTTACTTACTTGATGTCGAAGAACCAGAATTCTGAACTACATTGTGCTTTAGTAATGGGAAAATCTCAAGTTGCTCCTCTAAAATCTGTAACCATCCGTAGGATTGAGCTAATAGCTGCAACTATGTCAAGCCGTATGGATGTACTTTGGAGAAGGGAGCTCCAAATGGAGCTGCTGGAATCTGTATTCTGGACAGACAGTGAATCAGTCCTCAAGTACAATAAAAATGAGACCTCACGTTATAAAATATTTGTGGTCAACAAAGTCTCACAAATTCTCAAGGTTTCTGATGCCACACAATGGAGATATGTGGGCAGTGCCAGTAACCCAGCAGACATAGCCTCCAGGGGAGTGAAAGCTGATGCATTGATTAAACATCCTACATGGTTGTCAGGACCTCAGTTCTTGCTGCACCCTCTGAGTGAGTGGCCTGTCAGTCCACAAAATATCAGTGTGCTTTTACCTGAAGATCCTGAGGTAAAGAGAATATCAGTGGTTAATGCCATACATACAGAAGAAGAGCCTCTGTCTCGCCTGATCCAGTATTTTTCCTCCTGGATACGTCTAAAGAGATCTGTTGCATGGATTCTGAAAATAAAAAACTGGCTTCTTCCTATGTTGAGAAGAGGAGACAGTTCGTCTGACTCTGGCAAAGTCCAACCTCACTGGAGAGCAAAAGGAGTCCTCCATGAAAGAGGAGATGAGCAATTGCAGAAAAAATACTGCGACCAAGCCACTCATGGTGGAAGATTTGGACAAGGCCATAGTAGCCATAGTTAAATATTGTCAGCAAAAGCAATTTACTGAGGAATTCACCAGCTTAGAGAAAGGACAACCCATTAAAGTATCTAGCAGTCTTCGGGAGCTCTGTTCACGACTGCAAGATGGAGTCCTAAGGGTTGGGCATTAGACACTCTCTCGATGACCCCTCCAACCAGTCCGACGACTAGGGCAGTTAGTTAGAGGATCAAATTGCATGGGGCGGTGCACATCTGTTGGTATCTCTCAGACCCATAGCCAAGCCAGTTTGTAGAACTTTGAGAATTAGCGTTAGGTTTTAGAGTCAGGGTCAGGGTCAGAGTCAGGGTCAGGGCAAGGGTCAGAGTTAGGGTCAGGGCAAAGGTCAGAGTTTGGGTCAGGGCAAGGGTCAGAGTTAGGTTTAGGGCAAGAGTCAGGGTTAGGGATCGGGTAAGTGTAATTTAGGGTAAGGGTCAGGTGTTAGGTTTAGGTATGGATTCCACTAATATTAGGGTCAGTAGCTAATTGATCTGGTAAGTTGATAAGAAACATGAAAAATTAGGTTTAGATGTGGGTTACATAGGTTAGGGTTAGTAGCTAATTGTCCTGGTATGGTGATATGTGCTATAAGTGTAGTATAATGTAAGGATAAGGTTGGGTTTTATAGAGGTTATGATTAATTGAAGATGATCATATTAATTTTAATTTCAGATCAATGAAGGAATCAGAGTCAGGATAGACCGCCCTGGAATGGGCTAAGTTAACCCCCGCCGGTCTGGCATGTAAACTCCGCCTCCTCCACACCCTGCAGTTGTAAACTGAGGGAAGAGAGGTAGGTAGAGGGAAACGTTTCATAAATATATACTTTTGAGGACTAATATTGGTAGGAATTAGTGTATTACTTAAGGATAAGGTTTTGATAACTTCAGTGTAAGATAGGGTGTAAGGGATTTTAGAGGAATTAGAGAAGAGTAGTGATGGTAGGGTATTAGTCCACTAACTGTGGTTAGATTTAAGGTCCTCATCAGGTGTTTAAAAGATGAGATATTTAATGGTTAGGCATGAATTCCAATGCATTGGGGTATTTCATAGGATCTATACAGTGAGGTGGTCTTGTTAAGACTTCGTCTCAAAAGTTGTCAAAGTTTAATACCAAGCTTATCATGCTGAGATGGTCATGTTAAGACTTCGTCTCAAAAGATGTCAAAGTTTAATACCGAGTTTATCATGGTTTACCGCCATATGCTCTGTTGCTTAGCAACCGTGAAAGTTGACACACAAAGCAGGAAAATAATGAATACCGAGGTTTTCAAAACTGTTTGTTTATTTATTTGTTTTTTAAAAAGTTAAAGTGAACAAAGACTACACTCACAAGAATCCAGAGTGGAATAAAGGTTCCAACCACCGGGAGCAGGAACAAATAAAATCAAATGTAATGATAGAAACCTTAGTCAGTTAAATAACCTGCTGCTGTCATTCTGCACATCTCTGATGATGCTGCTATTTTCAAATAACCATTACTGTAAAAATGTCCATAGCAGCATATTGGTTATTAATTATCCGGTTTTATATTGTTAAAACACTTTACAGAATTGCATTTTTTATATTTTAATTTTCCCTATTATGTTATTCTTATACATTTTTCTAAGGTCCTCATTTGTGTGACCATTTTCAATAATCTTTCTGCTGCTGTAAATCTGCCCATTGAGGGACAATAAAGGGATTTTCTATTCTATTCTATAAAAGGGTTAGAAATATATAAGTAAATCTAAACAATGTATCTACAAAATATATCTGCAAAATATCTAATATTCAACAACAAAAAATACTTAGTTAAGCATATTGTGCAAAACAACAATAAAAAAATTAAACTCCTATCAGATTTATAGTTCCCTCTCTGCGGATATATTAGAATTGGTCCTTAAATTACAGCCAAACCCATTTACACAGTAACAGATAAAAACCTTTAGATAAACAAAACATTACCGCCACATATCTGACTCAATAACCATTAAAACAACAATTTTCATTAATCTCAGACGGAACTATTCACAGGGTTGCATTATATTAAACTGAACTTCCAATTTTCACCACTGTTGTGCGCCAAGTAACATTTCCTCTGATCACGTGTCCTGGTTTTCCCAAATGAAAATATGGTAGTGTATGTGGTTTAAAAACAACTTATGAAAGCACTTCCAGCTGTAGCTCTGTTTCTTTATCATTCCAATGGAGGACTGCCCTATATTGATATATTGATACGCTGAATAATCATGCACAATAAGCTATTTACCGTGATCACTCTGAGGTTGACATCTTCAGGGTCCAGAGGGTATGTGCTGGTGCACTGCAAGATGGTGAAGTTTTCATTGTGCTGCTTCACTGTCTTGTACACCTGACGGATTGTCTCCATTGACTGCATCCCAGTGGACACAACCATGGGACGGCCTGATAAGAGAATAAGAGCTTAATCAGCCCTTTTTCAGTGCCATATACGGTACATAAGAAAACATATTATCAGATGATATTTAATAGTCATGGTGGCTTCTCAAAGTGCTCCCTTTTTGTTTACCTGTCAAACATTGCATATAAAAAACACATTGTATCTTCAGACATAGATAACATGAGCAAATGCAAACAGCTGATCTTATATCTTTCTTTTTCGGTGGGACACATTTTGCTGCTGATTGATAACTTATTTTTCTCTTCATGTTGTCAGACAAGTTACAATTAAAGGTATAGTGAGGAGGATGTTCGTTTTCTTCTGGATCATCAAAATAATTGTTCCTCCTAATTGTCAAACATGCTGGTGATATGTTTCCATAAGGGTGTCCTACTTGCCTGTCCCCATTTTCACTTACAGGTGGTGACAATGACATAGTGGAAAAATTGCAAATCTTCTTTTGGACAGTAAGTTTTTTTTGAGTGATGCAGACAGCAACAAAAAATGTGCTTGTGCATGCTCTAGCATGCCTTTAATAGGTGTTCTCTCTCAGGAGCCGTTACAGTCTTGTGCATGTGCATTTTTTGTCGAGAGGGAGGATCTTTTTCAAAATTCGCTGAAATCCTTCACAATTCCTTTAAGTAATTCGTTGTTTCTAAAGATCTGGGTGTCATTAGGCCTGGGTGCAGCTTGTGAGCTTCATTTTCCAGAGGTAAATCACATTAAAAGTCTTTTTTAAAAGGTTTTACATGTGACCAAGTTGGTAAGGAAGGCTATTTAACTCAATAAATGGGGAAAAAACTGTCAGCCTACTGTCCATAAGACAAGCTACTAGACACTCTTTCTCTTACGATCCTCAGCCATTTTCAAAGAACCGTGGTGAGAAAGGTGAGCTTCAATGACTGTCTGAAACCATAGCACACCACACATATACACGTGAAAGTGTATATGCGCAGAAAAACATAGGACGAGTACATAGGATGGCCTTACGTAAACATATCACCAGCATTATTGACAATTAGGAGGACCACTTCTTTTGATAATCCACCAGGATATAAAAGATCATTCTCTGTACCTTTAAGTTTTTAAAATTCAACATAAAATTCCAACACTTGGCTGATTAGTTGCATTTGGTTCTCACCTTTCTTGGCTGTCTTCTCAAGATATGGAAAGTTGTCGGCATCTGCAGATGCTACTTTGATAAAAGGGACATTGATTTCATGGAGAAACTCCACAGCCATCTGAAACGTACAGATACAGGTTAAAGCTCTGATCAGATAAATCATGAGCTTTTAATCAAAAGTCTGTTACCTCGTCCATCCCTGAGGCAGTGAAGAAGATCCCCACTTCTGTTGCATATTTCTGCAGCTCCCTGTACTGCTCATGGCTGAATTCTAGGTGGCGCTTATGTTCACCATAAGTTTTCCCCCAGGAGTTCTTGGAGGTGTATGGACGCTCCAAGGCCTGCTTGTTAAACCTCACCTCCAACTCACTTTTCTGGAATTTGGCACAATCAGCACCACAGTCCTATAAAAGAGGAGGCAAAACATATAAAACATACATGTTGGATTTTATATTTGTTGTTATATTTTCAATAAATCTACAGCTTTGCAATAAAAAATACATATATATTATGAGGCATATATAATACATGTATATTATGAGGTTCCTTCCACAAGTAAGGAACATGTGACTTTTAAAAAAGCAAGTATGCAAATGATAAGCAAACTTAAAGGGGAACGCCGTTTTTTTTTTACATTTGGCCCTTGATTGGCCCTTTTTAACTTAGAAAAAGCTAGACCTACCAAGAAAAAACATACAGTGTCATGACATCATTATGTGTCAATTTGAGTTATGTGTGAGTTTAGTGTTGTGCATTTCTGACTTAAAAAAAAAAGAAAACTTAAACCAACTTTTTCTCTCTTTAATCTAAACATTTACTAAAGCTATAAATGGTATATTTGAAATTTTGGTTTCTAGTGTTCTTGATTTTTATTTCTTTTATTTTTGCTCCATTTTCTTGCTTTAGTCCTGTCTGTGTACAACGGAGTATTAGGGCCGAACAAAAAGAAAAAAAAAATTATGAGAATAAAGTCGTAATATTTAGACTTTAATCTGGTAATATTAGGAGTCTAATCTCGTAATATTATGACTGTATTCTCCTAATGAGAGTCTAATTCTAAGTCTCTAATATTACGACTTTATAATAGTATGTCCTTAGACTTAGACAGATTTATTTGGTCATTTTGTATACACGAGTGTATACAAAAAAAAATTCCATTTAGAACAGCTCTAGACAATTTCATTTTTTAAAGTACAGCCTTGAAAACAGTATTAAGAACATTAAAAACAGTAATATAAACATATATATAACATATATTTACAGTTCTAACATTATTTTTTTTAAAATAAAATAACCCATTTTAAACAACATTTAGCAGTCTAATGGCAGTGGGGAAGAAATCATCTTTAATGTTAGTATTTTGATGTGAATAATTAACCAGTGTTTTTGTTGTCAAGCAATTGTTAATGTATGAAAAATGAAAAAGTTTTGAATATTGAGAGTGTTACTGCTGCCACTGTCTGTATTATAGGGGGAAAAAATGGTAGGGGATGGCCATAGATTAGCTAAGGGTGGCCAAGGCCACCCCTGGCCCCCCATCTAGCTCCGCCCCTGCTGGTCAGAATGCTCTCCATGGTGCTTCTGCAGGGTGTATACAGGAAGGAGGAACTTTAATTTAATGCTTTTTAATGCTCTTAGAAATAATGTTAATACCATTATATATATAAATAAATATGTAAATATATATATATATATATATAATGGCATTAACATTATTTCTAAGAGCATTAAAAAGCATTAAATTAAAGTATATATATATATATATATATATATATACATATAAAAAAAAAAAAAAAAAAAAAAACTGTTTTCTCACCCCTCGTGGGGTGGTATGTGTCATCCTCAAGCTCGGGTCCTCTACCAGAGGCCTGGGAGTTTGAGGGTTCTGCGCAGTATCTTAGCTGTTCCTAGGACTGTGCTCTTCTGGACAGAGACCTCTGATGTTTTACCTGGAATCTGCTGTAGCCACTCTCCCAGTTTGGGGGTCACAGCCCCCAGTGCTCCAATTACCACTGGCACCACTGCTGCTCTCACTTTCCACATCTTTTCTAGCTCCTCCTTCAGTCCTTGGTATTTCTCAAGCTTCTCGTGTTCTTTCTTCTTGATGTTGCTGTCGCTTGGGATTGCCACATCTATCACTACTGCCTTCTTCTGCTGTTTGTCGATCAACACAATGTCTGGTTGGTTAGCCATCACCATATATATATATATATATATATATATATATATATATATATATATATATATATATATATATATATATATATATATATATATACATATATATAAACGCGGCCAAATCCTTCGCAATCTTTACCATCGACAGGCTGTAGCCATATCCTCAAGGCACAGAAATTTTATCTTTACGATCAACCTGAAGCAGTTTCACGCAAACACGTGGAACCAGTTAAATCTGATATATTTGACTTTTTTTTTTTTCCTTTTATATAAAGCATTTTAAATGCAATGATAATGAAATTTAATGAATGATAATGCCAATTAAGGCCTTAATTTAAAAATTAATAATTTAATGACTTTTAAAGATTTTCTGACTCGCAGAAACCCTGTTCTGTAAAAGGTGCTGAGGATGGGTGGGGGCAGGTGGGCTCTCCTCATCCTTTGCAAGAAGTATATGCGCTTTTGTACCCTTTTGATCAGAACATATTCACGTAATTCTCCTACTTTATTTACTTTATTATCATAACGTTACAGCCTGTTAAAAATAAAATCTCTAATAAGACTACTCTGCTACTATGCACACCTCCCCGCTGACAGTCCGCACTCCCAAAGACAGATTGTCAGACTCCACTGGCGAGAGGACCGTACAAGCATTAAATAGCGAATCTGCAGCTCTACCCGGTGGATTTAAGAATGCATCCTTCACTGGTACAGCTTTTTATCATTTTATGTAAGATATTTTATTATTATTTTTTAATGGACGCTTACAGGTGCTGGTCATAAAATTAGAATATCATGAAAAAGTAGATTGATTTCAGTAATTCCATTTAAAAAGTGAAACTTGTATATTATATTCATACATTACATACAAACTCATATATTTCAGATGTTTATTTTGTTTAATTTTGATGATTACAAATGACAACAAATGAAAATCTCAAATTCATCATATCAGAAAATTAGAATATTGTGAAAAGGTTCAAAATTGATGGCCCCTGGTGCCACACTCTAATCAGCTAATTAACTCAAACCACCTGCAAAAGCCTTTAAATGGTCTTTCAGTCTAGTTCTATAGGCTACACAATCATGGGGAAGACTGCTGACTTGACAGTTGTCCAAAAGACGACCATCGACACCTTGCACAAGGAGGGCAAGACACAAAAGGTCATCGCTAAAGAGGCTGGCTGTTCACAGAGCTCAGTGTCCAAGCACATTAATAGAGAGGCGAAGGGAAGGAAAAGATGTGGTCGAAAAAAGTGTACAAGCAAGAGAGATAACCGCACCCTGGAGAGGATTGTGAAACAAAACCCATTCAAAAATGTGGGGGAGATTCACAAAGAGTGGACTGCAGCTGGAGTGAGTGCTTCAAGAACCACCACACACAGACGTATGAAAGACATGGATTTCTGCTGTCGCATTCCTTGTGTCAAGCCACTCTTGAACCACAGACAGCGTCAGAAGCGTCTTGCCTGGGCTAAAGAGAAACAGGACTGGACTGCTGGTGAGTGGTCCAAAGTCATGTTCTCTGATGAAAGTAAATTTTGCATTTCCTTTGGAAATCAAGGTCCCAGAGTCTGGAGGAAAAGAAGAGAGGCACTTCATCCACGTTGCTTGAAGTCCAGTGTAAAGTTTCCACAGTCAGTGATGGTTTGGGGTGCCATGTCATCTGCTGGTGTTGGTCCATTGTGTTTTCTGAGGTCCAGGGTCAACGCAGCCACATACCAGGAAGTTTTAGAGCACTTCATGCTTCCTGCAGCTGACCAACTTTTTGGAGATGCAGATTTCATTTTCCAACAGGACTTGGCACCTGCACACAGTGCCAAAGCTACCAGTACCTGGTTGAAGGACCATGGTATCCCTGTTCTTAATTGGCCAGCAAACTCTCCTGACCTTAACCCCATAGAAAATCTATGGGGTATTGTGAAGAAGAAGATGCAATACACCAGACCCAACAATTCAGAAGAGCTAAAAGCCACTATTAGAGCAACCTGGGCTATCATAACACCTGAGCAGTGCCACAGACTGATCGACTCCATGCCACGCCGCATTGCTGCAGTAATACAGGCCAAAGGAGGCCCAACTAAATACTGAGTGCTGTACATGCTCATACTTTTCATGTTCATACTTTTCAGTTGGCCAACATTTCTATAAATCCTTTGTTTTTATTGGTCTTCAGTAATATTCTAATTTTCTGATATGATGAATTTCAGATTTTCATTTGTTGTCATTTGTAATCATCAAAATTAAACAAAATAAACATCTGAAATATATGAGTTTGTATGTAATGTATGAATATAATATACAAGTTTCACTTTTTAAATGGAATTACTGAAATCAATCTACTTTTTCATGATATTCTAATTTTATGACCAGCACCTGTATATGGTATCCTTTAAGGACCGCAAATATTTTTTTTTTACAGCAATCGTCATTTTAGGACAGCTCTAACCGCTGAGGATGATCTATTTTCAGAGACACACTAAAGACTCATTATTGCATAAATAACTGTATTGAACGGTAAAGTTAACAGTCGCCATTTACAAAATAACCAAAGGAGTTAAATTACAACTTTTTCAACCAACCCGTTCGTCTGAGACAAAGTGTCTCATTAGCTTTTTTTTCTTTCTTTCTTTTTTATTATAAGATTATTTTTAAGCTGAACTACAAACTACTTTTACATTTAAAACGCAAAAGTTATGCACATGAATGCGCGCGGGCGGGAATCAGTCGTTCTGCGTATTTTATCTTTGTTTTTTACTCATTCAGATTTTATCAATTACCCACGACAAAGGGCGTTTTTTGAAATCCTTGATATGTTTAAGTTAGTTAAAAAAGAAAAGAAAAGCGGCGGGCGGAGCCAGCCTTTTAGAGCGTTATCATCGCATCAAATGGTCGTTATGAGCGGTTATCAGTCCCATAAAATAGTTTTTCTATTTATCACCGAATAAAACCGTAACGCTAAGGTAATTCCTTTTTTACCTGTCTAATTAATTCATGTATGTATGTGAACATAATTGTAGCAGCTCTACATCTATTGTAAAAATAAAAATAAAATAACGTCGATAGTTCATTATCTAACATATCCTGTAAACTGAGGTGTTTTTTTTAACACTATATTAAATCCGTGTGGCTGAAACCTGTGAAATTCACTCAAAGAACAACTTTAAAACGCAGTTTTTCTTTTAAGACGGTAGGCTGTAAATAAAGTACATAAAAAGTAGTAGGTATATAAACTGAATATATATATATATATATATATATATATATATATATATATATATATATATATATATATATATATATATATATATATATATATATATATATATATATAAAGCTATAGGACCGACATCAGGAAATGGTTACAGAGAAGGAAATAAAAAACTAGAACAGCAGATGTGAACATTCTGTACAATTAGTCACATACAGAAGCAGCTTTTAATTAATATGCTCCAAAAATCTGCAATAAACTCCAAGAAAAATATGAAAGTATTTTAAGAAACTCTTAATTTTAGCATTTTTACACTGTTCACCTCTTTTTACCCTTACATTTAATTTCATATGTAAATATAGTATAGCGTACAACTGTGTCTATTGTGCTCGAACGAAAAACCCATCAGTTACAGGGCGTGCCATTAATTCTATACCAAAAGAGGTCCAACATCTCAACAAAAAGAATAAAGATACCTCTGTGAACCCCATTATTGTCAGTACAAGTAAAATAAAAATAAACGAATGATGATATTAACAATAATAATAAGTTAAAAAAAAGAAGAGAAATTTTATTTACAATTAGTCTGATTTTTTTTAGCTTTTTTTTTTTTACTCTCAGGGGATTTTTTTTGAATGAATAATGTTTATATATACATGGATAAGAGCTGCATTTAGGAACAGTTTTGTCTCTTCGTAAAATATTTTTGCTTTACAAACAAAATTTTGAATTACTAGTCTTCATTGTGAATCTTAAACGTGTTTAATTTCATTAACTACATCCAGAAATTTTGAATAATAAAATGCATTTAGAATGTCAAAGAAAAAAAATGTATACAATACAAAAATTGCCAGGTATAATCAAAACAGACTTACATGTATGAAATGATTTGAAAAAAAAAACCCTCACCTTTGCCATTTTAATCATTTTCTTGGCTATCTCGATGTCTCCCTGGTGGTTCTGTCCAATCTCAGCTATGATGAAGCATGGATGGTTCCCTCCGATCATCCGGCCAGGGCACAGCTCAAACTCCACAGGCATCTTGGTGGTAAAGGGGGAAATAAATGCTGCTGATGGATGCAAATATTGCAGGAAAGTGCAGTTGGCAAGTCAAGGTCTAAGTGGAAGATAGGTCTAACTGAAATAAAGGATATATCAGATGTCACTAGCTCCGCCTTTTTCACCGGATGTGTTTCTACTTCTACGTGGCACACTTCTGTCATCAGTAGCCTATTCTGACAGGCAATCTGAAATTAAACTCAACGAAAATAGAAGAAAAGAGAAATGCTTAATTACTTTCCTGAAAAGTAGCAGAAGCAAACTGAAATTGCCAACAGAAACGAATGTCATGAAATAGTAAGAGACAGAAAAAGCCCAATACCTGCTCTAAAAGTTTTAAGAATCTAGCTAAAGTTGACAATATAAAACCTGCTGAGATCTAATAAATGAGCACAAACAGCTGAAAAATAGTATGGAGAAACTGGGATCTTATTTAGTTAAAGAAAAAAATATAGTGTTTTAAGGATAGTGACTGAAATGTTGAAGAATATGGTTTTGAGTAAGGAGCTAAGTTTGAAATTGTTGAAATGTTAAGAACTGTCATAACTGTTGGAAAGAAATACAAATATAGAAGTTTAGAACATTTAGAAACAGACTACATTAGAAGCTTAGTTAATGTGTTGAAAAGTTGAAGAAATGTGAAATATGGGCAGAAACTCACAGCAGCTGAATTGGAATGCCAGCAAAATTTAAATAAATCTTTTCCATTAATATGAAATCACAATTTGGTTTCTGAAGTTTATTATTTCAGAGTGCCTAACCATATCTAATTTCAACTAGTGAAAATATTGTGTTTTATGGGTTTCATTTTGCACATTTAATTATTAGCATACCTTGACGTTTTGATTTAATTAACACATTTGAGCCTCCCACGTTACAAAGAACAGCAACCACCACTGAATACAGACGTATCCTCCTATGATGTAATCTCCTCAAAACAGGTCAAAATGAGCCCTGCTCTATTGTACCTTATGCTGGTAAAGATTCTCAGTCATCCTGGTCACAGTCATTCCAAAAAAGTAAAAAAACACACCACTGGATTTTTGTTTACCAAGTTGAAGATGTTTCACTTCCCATCCAGGAAGCTTTTTCAATTCAAAATGTCTGGATTAGCATTGAGATCCAAGCTTTATAGAGCAGCTCAATAAAGCCTGGGCTTTGGTTTAGAAAATATGCAAACTCTATCTTCTGTCTTACCCTGGATTAGACCCTGAAACACTAGTGGAAAAAAACTAAATTTTTTTTGCAACAGTTCCCACCCTGTAATCCTTGTCAGACTGGTTTTTCTTGTTTAAAAAGTTTTCATTCATCATGTTTGTTCATAGTCAAACTGATCAGATGTTTCTTCACTGTTTTTTTTTTTAGCTTTTTCTATTATACACACACAACTACGTTGCATCAATTCCAATTCAGCAGATGTCTTTTTATTACCATTAAACATGTTGACATTTAAATTATGTATTTTATACTAGTTCAGTGCTTCTGCTGATCCCTCAAACTATTCATTACCCAGCCCCCTTGCAAACGTCTGCGTAGGGCCATAGTATGCTGACAACAGACAGTTGATATATGACTTATAATTGAGTTTTTGTTTGCATGTAGGAACATAGTAACACTTTAATGTCAATTTTTCTGTAATGCTTTTGATATGAGGAAGTGTTTCATATGTTTTCAGCATCCTGATTTACTGGTGTCTAAGCCCACCCCTGAATTAAGTTCATTTTCACCTAGAAGCAGTATAATTTTAAAGTATACTTTAAAATGATCTTTTAAATACTTACGTAGAACTGGTCACAATGAAATAAAAAAGTGTATTTAGCATATATTTTGTTTAGGTTATTTATTTTATTGCTTAAGCTGGAGTGAACTACATGGAAAATGTGCAGCAGAGCTTTGAGTTTAATGATTACCATTGATTGAATTAGATCTTAACAATGACAGATTTTAAATCTCAGATTCTTATTTTCTTTTTCTTCTCAGCTTTTTTATTGTCAGTACACTGTCAAAGTACAGAGCAATGAAATAATCTCTCTGCATTTAACCCCATGGGCTGCCATTGTGTAGCGCCTGGAGAGCAGTGTGGGGTCAATGATCTTGCTCAGGGAGCCATAGTGTCAGTCCGTGGGAGTGGGGCTTGAAATTAGAACCTTTGGATTCCAAATGCAATGCCTTGACCACTATGCCACACTCAACATATTCTGCCTGACAAACATTGCTCTTAAACTGTTTAATCTATTGTTAATGTTCTTTATTTCCCTTAGTCAAAGCAATTGACCCACTTAATTTGACCTAAAAAGATTCTAACTAACCCTAACCCTCTACCTTTTAATGGTTATGATAATAGACCTAAAAAAATTGTATGACTTTTTTCCATTTGATGTGGTGGAAACTGTAATATTGGGGCTTTCATTCTTCGGTTCATACACATTAGGTGTAGAGCAGCCGTGGTGATGCTGTAAATGTTAAAATGTTTATTTAGTCTCTCCCAAAAAGGTAAATAAAATAAACTGAAAAAGCTCAGGTCTCATTTAAAGCATGCTGTCAAATCAGCACCATCTCAAACTCAGCTTTTTATGGCTTTTCACCTTGTAAGGATTTATTATTCCACAATAAAGATTATTTGGCTTCAAATCTAAAATTGGAGTTATATTAGCCCAAAATCAACATGCAAAGCTTGGTCTCAGAATAAGTGCAACATTTTTGTTGCTTTCCTTTCATCCAGACTAACCAAATGAAAAACCGATTCACCCTCTCCTCTCTTTTCAGCAGCTCCACCACCAACCAAACAGATGAAGAGGAGGGGTGGGGTGATGCTATTTTACTCAAAAAGAACATTCATAATCATTGTATTAAATTGTGTTTGGACACCTTCAGACAGCATAGGCTTATGATCAAAGTGGGATTTACCATGTTTTTTTAACAAAGTCATTCTTTATTCAAAATGAATTAATTGCAGTCCCAATCCATTTCCATCCATTTTTTTTTTGCTCTGGAGCAGAAACCTCCTTTAGTCTGTGACTATTGAGCAGCTCCAAGTAAGTATGGTATTCCTAAGGTTTCAACCGGGGGCAATGTCACATCAAATACTAGGGAGGCTAAACCTCCCCTGTACATTTTGTAAAATTTTTGGTAAAATATGTATTGTCATACTGCATAAGTGCTTTTATTAAACTGCTTTAAATATGCAATAAAATGCAGCTGATTTCATTAGTAAACACCTCAACAGCTCAGCTGTAGAGAATCCCTATGGGATGCAGAAACTGGCAGAGTTTAAGAACTTGATAAGTTACTAGATGAACTTTTGACTTTCTAAAGACTACTCACAATCAGTGTTGGGCATGTTACTTTGAAAAAGTAATTAGTTTTATTTACTAGTTACTCCACAATAAAAGTAACTGAGTTACTAACTGAGTTACTCCACAATAAAAGTAACTAGTTACTTGTAAAAGTAACTATTGTGTTACTTTTGAGTTTCTCGCCCCCGTAACCCTCACCACCCAGCCCCCACCTTCTCGACGTGTGTTTCAAAAGCCAGCTGAATAGAGTGGATGACAAAGACAAGAACCTGCAGAGAGTTTGGCATTTATTGCAACTCAACGTAAATGACATCAGGGGGGAACGCGATGTGAAGTTTTTTAACAGGGCATTCAGATCTGGTGAGTATATGAAATTAAAGGAATAGTACACCCAAAACATGATTAGCCTTCATTTTCTACTCACCCCCATGCTGAACAACACTCTGGAGTACATTTTTGATATCTCAAATGCATCTGGAGATCTGGGAGGCTTCTTGCTGTCTGCTGACATTCAAATAATGGAGGTCTATGGTGCCCGAGGCAGAAAGGTCCATAAAAGTCCACAAAAAACGTGTCAATATTCCTCCATACTGCTCGTCCAATGTATTCCAAGTGTCCTGAGTGGGTAGCGTCCATAATTTACTCGAAACAAAGTCATTTAGAATGTTTTTAGAGCATAAACAGTAGTGTATAGGATTTCCTAAAAGTGCGTGCCTGCGAGTTCACGAGCCTACGGAAACTGCGGCAGACCAAGCCAGATGAAAGTGCGCATTCAGCGTCTGCTCTGCCGATAATGCAAGCGTAGAAGAAGAAATGTGCTGTTTACCTGTGCAAAGAAAGAAACAATGAAAGAAAAATGTCTGAGGACTTCAGTGTTGAGGAAGAGCATGAGTTCTTTGCCGAGCTGAATGCGCACTTTCACTTTCGTTTGGATTGTTATAGATACTGCAACATCTATCTATCCATCTATCTATCTAGATGTATACTCTGTGTGTGAAATAAAATATGGATCTCCATCCCTGCCACAAAGGCCATCAAATAATGTTTAAGATAAAAAATACAGTAGGTTGAAAAGGCAGAGTATCCATCCATCCATCCATCCATCCATCCATCCATCCATCCATCCATCCATCCATCCATCCATCCATCCATCCATCCATCCATCCATCCATCCATCCATCCATCCATCCATCCATCCATCCATCCATCCATCCATCCATCCATCCAGATTTCTCCCTTTCTCCATATAGGCTATCATTTGTTCGTTCGCGCTCTCCGTTAGTTCCCCTGTGGCGCGAGCACAGGGCGACTGTTGCGTGCCTTTAGCGAGCATGCGCGTTTCCTGTCGCTTGCGTGGTGAATCGTGCCGCCTGCGCTGTGCGGAGATGCAGGGGAAACCGTATCTGATGGGGAAACGCAGCTCGACGTAACACCGGTATTTCCATCTGGAAAACGCTGTTTTGCTGCTGGATCCTCCTCACTCTCCATCTCTCTGTGTGTGCTGTACATTAACACCCACCAGCAGAAACACCCACCTACCCAACTGACAGACGGAACCTCACTATACATCAGCCATTCTAATCCTCCCCTCTCTCATGACCAGTGTTGGGCACGTTACTTTGAAAAAGTAATTAGTTATAGTTACTAGTTACTTCTCCCAAAAAGTAACTGAGTTACTAACTGAGTTACTCCCCAATAAAAGTAACTAGTTACAAGTAAAAGTAACTATTGCGTTACTTTTGCGTTTCTCGCCC